CCTCTTTAATTTGATTGGACATTGAGACATTTTTCTAAAATTTTTGTCTCGGACATTATTGACTTGTTTGTGGTTTCAGGCATTATTAAACTTGGTCATATTACACCTTAGTTTTTGGTTGATGACACTTTTTTTAATAAGTTTACATTGATTTTTGAACAGTATGAGACTAGTTGGTCTTGGACAAATAGACCCTTTCTGTTGAGTTAAGCTTATATAAGATATATGTAGATATAAATTACATTTTTGAAGTCTAGGCCTACCTCATTACACAAGATGTTACTTCGGGGCTTAAGATTTAAGTTTAATAATATATTTATAAATGTATCAATTGCGAGTTTTTACCGAATAATTCATCAGTTAATTCGTATTTCTTTTACTGTACCACAATTCGGAAATACTGTGATTCTAGTCAAAGGATTTGCCCCTTTTATCAGCCTCAGGGGTTATCACTTCTTTCTTTTATAAAGTTTGATAAAACTTTGCAGGCTTGAGTAAAACTTTGCAGTATAAAACATGTTAGTCAATTCAATCTGTTGTAATCTAGCTAGGCAAATCGACTGACTATTCACTGAATAAATACTTAGGTAAAGTTGAGTAGCCGCTGCTAACACCAATGAACAAAACAACTTCCACAGGGTGAGAAAATCAATTACATTATATCCTATTAGGAAACACTACAATGTATTTGGACGTTTAGAAATACTTCACTAAACTAGTGCAAATCTAGCATCATGCAGGCAAACTAAAAGCGCAAAGCATACTTACAAGACTTGAATTCCTTTCAAGGTTATTGTTAATAGAATTGTAGTTCCTTCTCGAAGCCATGGCAAAGCAAACAGCTTTAAAAAGAAAGCCAAACACCAAAACTAAAAGCAAGAAAGTTAAATTATAATATCATGCAAAATTAAATGTTAAGGCTACGCCTACAAGCACAGATTTTAAGTTTACTACGTTTTTACAAGGAAACAGTAGTTATTATTACTTATTTTTTTTGTTTTTTCCTGTTCAATTTTTATTTTTAGTAAGTTAGCTTAAAAAAACTTTAAAATTCTGAATTTGTTTTTAGGCATGTAAGTTAAATAAGTGGAGAAAAAATATTTTTGTCCTAGGGAAGTATAAGATCTAAATTTTCTGAAATACAAATAACCTACACAGTCACTGACCTTTTGCTTGATCCTAACTGCCTGACAGTAAAGTCACAACTGAAGAAAAACTACTCTAGTGTTGCTGTATTGAAGAATTGGATAAGAAAAGACAGGCTCCAGTAGGAAATTTCCAACAAAAGCTCCCTTCCACCAATGACACACCTCTTGAGGTCAAAGTTCAACACAACCCTAACTAGCTCAGCTGACCAATATTAAATAACAAAATTATCTATCACCAAACACCACTGACAGCATAGGAAATGTTTCAATTAGACAAATAACTCCCAATATTGAATTATTTAACATTATTCTTTACCCATAGGAAATATCAAAATAGGAAATGTTTCAATTAGACAAATAACTCCCAATATTGAATTATTTAACATTATTCTTTACCCATAGGAAATATCAAAATAGGAAATGTTTCAATTAGACAAATAACTCCCAATATTGAATTAATTAACAGTATTCTTTACCCATAGGAAATATCAAAATAGGAAATGTTTCAATTAGACAAATAACTCCCAATATTGAATTATTTAACATTATTCTTTACTCATAGGAAATGCCAAACCAATAGTCCAATAATCATGTTTTTAAATAATTAAATGAAATTAAAAATAATTAATAACAGTTAGCCTATAATAATGAATTGAAAATCATAAATAATAATTAGCCTAAATAATAATAATTATAAAAAAAATTAAATCAATAAAATATTAAGTTAAATATTTTGTTATTCTTTAAAATAAAGTATTTATTTTGTAATTAAACCAAAATACTACCTATACTGAACTAAACTAATTTAATGTCTGATAAAATTAGATAACCTAGTATATTTTTTATATGAATGACATTTTTTTTCTTTTATAAAACTAGAGTCTTATGTGTTCATTAACAGAGGTTGTAATTTCATTTCACAAAAAAACCCTTGCTGAAATAAAAATCATCAAGGTAGCAAATTGCTTTTTATAAATTGGTTTTATAGGTAAATGCTATCAAACGTTATTTCTTTCCAAAATTATTGCCAATGCAACAAAATATAAGCTTGTGAATTTATTGGTTCTGATAAATTTTGGGGAATGTAGGCTTTTCAAAACTACACCACAGAGAAGTAATATAAAACTACACTATTAAAATTGTCAAGAAATTGATTTAATTTGTGTCTTATTTACAACAACAATAAAATACATCCAATTAAAAGTATATTTTACCCGTGTGACAAAATATATTTTTCCATATTGCACAATTATTTTAGCAAACTATGTTATAAACCGACAAAAACAAACATTCATAATAAAGATAACCTCTCAATTTTTTTAAGTATTAGTGCTATGTGCCTTACGTTTAATCTATGAAGTGCTGTTTGGCTATTTTAATACAAACATAATTTTATTGACAGAGAGCCATCTCAAAAGCCATATCTTCCAACATTCATGAGAAGCAATTTATTTAGGCCAATAGAACTTTAACTCAGGTACCGGTACTTTAGATTTTACTTTCCACTGATTTACAATTCTTAAAAAAAACTACTAATCATAAGAAATGAAAAACATTATCATACTAATATTATAAATGTGAAAGTTTGTGTGTGTGTTTGTTCGTTTGTTTGTTTGTTTGTTTGTTTGTTTGTTTGTTTGAAGCTCAATCACGCATTAACTACTGGTCGGATTGTGTTTAAATTTAGTATGATGATAGCTTACATTCCCGATTAACATATAGACATATTCTTACCTCAAAAATCCTTTCGGGCTCTGCCCCAGCGGCTCTGGAGTTTCCCATGTTAACCTTATGAGTATTCATATTTAAAAGGAATTAAATAATTTTGCCAGCTGTTTCAACTACACAATTTGTTTCTATGATATTCAATAGCATTAAAAGGTTATACGGTTTACCAACAGGGTGCAGCACCATTCGTTCTTTATACATTTATGACAACAGCTAATTTGAACCAAGCAGTAACAAAAACCTGAGTGTGAGAACTTTACTTCTTTCTTTTGTTTAGGTGAAGTGGTAGAACATTATGGCTATGGTAGATGTTCTATATACTATAGTATACCGTAGATTATAGTAAACTAAATTTTCTCAAAAATTGTCCCATCTCATTGCAAATGCAAAACACGAGTATTTAACTACAATAAGCGTTGTATACCAACCCCGTACAAAGGACGGGTACTCAGCTAGTTTAATTATATGATCATTGTCAAGGGATGGGGACGCTGTTAAACAATCATGTGTAAAAAACTAAATTGTTTATTTTCGAAGTTCTACATAATGAAAATTAGAGAACTTTAGGTTTTAAGAGTAAACATGTGGAAAATCCAATTTTTCAAACAATTAAAAACTTCATAAACTAATATCTTTTCTTAATAATAAGGTAGCAAAATTAACTGCAAGATGGATACAGACATAAGTTAACAAGTTAACATATATAAAGAAATCTGAACAAATAATATTATTGTCATCTGGGGTCTAATTATTGTTCCCGTGCCTCCTAAGGTAACAGCATTTTCCTATGTGCAAAATTCTCTAAAAGAGCAAAAAGCTCTAAATATTGTTAAAACGGGACAAATAGACATAACAAAAGATTTAGTAGGAAAAACCATAAGCTCCGTAACCTCTCCAGGAAAATAGGTCTATTTTCAAGGTGTTAAGTGTAAGAACAAAACGGGTTTACTGGTTACCTTTATCAATGCTAACTTTAAGTTCTAGTGGCACCAGAATTCTAAAAATTTGAATAGAACAACCTTTATTATCTGACCATAGTTAGATCATCAACTACAAACAATCCAGTTAGGTTAAACAATGGAAATATATATGGTCAATTCCATAAGATTGTTGTGTCTTTCTTAAGTAATACCTAGTTATTTACAAGATCACATCTCGTTCATTGCGTAACAAAGATAAAACCGTGAGTCTGTTTGTTTGTACTCATACAGCTTCCATTCGGTCAGGCGATCTCCCCTTTGGGGATATTCCATTGTAATTATCACATGTGACCTTTGAATGGCAGATAATTTTCTAAAGAGATTAACAATGAGGAGAAAATGCTATCTGAGATTATTAGCAGTTGTGATTTGTGTAAAATAAATCTCAAACCTACTTTTTTGTTTTTAGATAAAGCAGATTACCCTGATTATTATGATTTTTAAGATATTTAAGAGTTGAGACTTCAATGGTGGAAGGCGTACGGTATCCAATGGCTGATGACAATTTGGCAAACTACAATACAAATCAGTTCTGTGTCAAAATCTGATAATAACTTAGATTTAAGTTAAATTATGTGCGTGGGTTTTAACTGAACAAATGAATTTATAGATTACATGGATAAAACTAAAATACAATAGAAGTTGTAGGTCTCAGCTGAATTTTAATGATAATTGCCTACAACACTTACAAAGATATTCTATGATTAGGTCCTATTTCTGAGGATGATTCATTTTCACAACATGGTAGGCTAATCCTTAAAGCAACAAAATAAAAAAACAAGATGCCACAGCTATTCCCATGGAAGTTTTGGTAACTATCGCCTCACTAACTTCTTATCTGTTAACTCCGTTCAACTCACGACTAAGTAAAATTGAAAATATTACTGCTTCACAGTTTCCTAGAATAATTTGAAAGATTTCCTTTTTAAAGTAGGTATATAGCCATACTCAGTTTTCACTTGTTTGAGATCAAATATGTTGTGTCACGCCAATATGTGAAAATAATTAAACATGTAGGGTAGGTATTTAGTTTCTGTCGATGATTTACCAAAATAGTGTGTTGTACAGTAGCTAACATTGACTGTTTCATGCACACTGTCTCATGCACAAATAGCAAATCATGCAATGTCCCATAAAGACTCACTTTCATTGGTCGAAGTGGTGTGGCATCCACCATAGTGTTAGTGAACTTAGCCCAACTGATTAGTGTTAAGTGCAAGTACTAGTTGATAGTAGATAAGAAAGTGCACTACTGCAACACACCATAAAACATCAGCTAGAACTCGTTTGTTAGTTAGATTAGTAAAGCACCCTCAGAAATGAGATTCCAGATTCCGCCAACTGTTAAAACTTCCAACTGAAAAAATAACACACTAGTGCAGTATGGTTTGGTTAGTGTATTTTAGTGGTGATTACAGATAAAATGGAACTATTGTGCAGGACACACATTTATTAATGAGAAAGATCACAACCTTTATTAATAGCATGATATACAAATTTTATAGACAGACTTACTATCCAATTCGACGTAGGGAGTCTTCAATTCAATTCAATTAGGCTATCAATTATTTAAGATGGGGACGCCACTATGTGCGTATTTTTGCGTATCTTGACCATAGATAAAACATACTCCCTTAGTAGATTAGTCATCCTAATGGAACAACTGAAGCCAATTTTATTGTTAGTTCTGTACGTCCAACTATAGAGGTTATGTTTTGTTTACAATTTGTTTCTTGTTATTGCAGTCATTTAAAACCTCGTTTAACCTAATAAAACGATATATTCATAAACAATAACTGGTCTCCTAGTTATATAACCAAATAGTAAAGCACAAATCATGAAAATAACCCTAAAATAATAGAAACAAAATGTTGTCTACACTAGCGATTAGTGTGGTCGTACATGAACTAGACGCAAAAAACAAGCTTCAAAATTTACAATGGGATGAGGAGTCTACTTGTGTTGCTTAGTCTATGTCTTGACTCAACATCTACCCGGTCAGATCACATTGTTACCCAATACCTTTGTTATTTTGATTTATTGTTCTAGTGTACCATCTTGTCGTTTCTAATGTCCACATTGTGTTTAAATGTGTCCATTTACATGAAAAATGTACTTTTTGTGAATCAATGTCCATCTAATGAAGCGATTAAGTTATAATATAGGTCTACTTTAATGCCTGGAGGTGACTTCTTGACAATTCAAAACTATTTGCGACAATACAAAGCAATTGGATTACGCAGAAGTAGATATTCAAACATATCTTGTTAAATGATTTCTGAGCCTGTAAAAATTAGGAGGGTAGCTAACAAGATTAAAACCTATTTTCTAAGCCTAACCTCTGACTTGGATGACACAAAAGATTTTGTATCTAATTTAGGTAAGTTAAGGTTGCATCTAATATTTAACAAAGATAGGCCTAGCCTATTTGGACAAAACCACTAGGCCTACCTAGGTCAATGTTGGTGATTATTAGTATAATTTAGTAATTTAGACAAACTAAAAAGAAGTATTCAATGAGATAACAGTGAAAACAAAGAACTGCCAAGTGAGAGATGTTGTCACCAATTGTCTTGGCCTAACATACTTATGTTACTAAACAAGTAGGGCCTACACATTTGAGAGGAGTGGGGGAATGAAGGCAATACCTTAAACTGCTTCTTAAATAATTGAAATGTCATTAGCAAAGGTAGGTTACATTGAAAACATTTTGCATTGTCAGTCTATTTCAATGATACCACAGAGAAGTAGGGTACAGGGGAAACACTTGTAAGTATTAGCGGTGTGGCGGTGTAGTAGTGTAGGGGGACATCCAACACCACCCCCCGCCCTCAATTACTAGTGAAACATTTTAATGACGCAATCTATCCAACATTTGTTGGTCAACGATGAAGAGATCAAGTATTTCAAGTAAGTATTTACTACAACGTTCACGGAGGAAGAAGACTCTGTGTCCTGTGCGATATGAATTTTCGCACAGTGTTCGCCACTCGGGCTCTTCCTTGCTAGCCAAAAATAGGCTATATTCTCAGCACAACATACCAGAGCTGAAAGCGCATGGTAATCGAATAAGCAAGTTTCCCCTGTACCTTAGGCCTACTTAACTATGTGATACCAAAAAGCCGTATGATGTTAAACAGATAATATATGAGAAGAAAATTATTACAAAGTTAATAAAAACTGATTTTATCCTACAATATTAGATTACAGCTGCAACAGAATAAACTTAGGTAACCTAGTAAACAGGTAGGTTAAGATACTTTAAATGGTAGAGATAAAGAATGAGACTTCAGTTAAGAAAATAATCATTTCTTTCTGTTACTCTTGTAATCAGACAATGCTTTAAGATAAAAATATATCTTAGACTAGGCCTATAATAAAGGTTTTAAAATGTTACAGATTTCAGCCTAAAGAAATTAGGCTAAGATGCTTGCACAGTTTTAGTATTTCTCAGGTAATTGGACGTGTTTGAAATCCTTGGTAGACTGATACTTTTCTAAATATTCAAACTGTTGTGAAAATGAAGAATATAAATAAACCAACCTTGGACACTGCACAAAGGTCTGAAATAAATTAAAAACTGAACTAGAACTACCCACATATTGAAACATTTCTTAAACTGAGGTTAAGATTGTTAGAAGCATGCCTGACTTACCTAGTGAAAGGAGAGAAGTTGATAACTCTTAGACGGTGAACAACACTAAATTAGGAACTACGCAATTTAAAATCTGCGGGCTGTCTGCTTAAGTAAACAAAATAACAACTCTTTACTTTATCACTTATTTGCGTCAAACAACGCCATTTTATGTTGTCTCGTCTGTTATGTTTTCTTTTCTACTCAGTTGGAGTTGACAGAGAAGAGAAGAGTGCCCAATCAGAATTGTCATCAGCTGGTTGCAAAAATTAGAAATTGTAGACAAAGAAAGTGTATTACGTAAAGATTAAAATATTTCAACGACATACAAAATTGGGAGCTATATATAAGAGTCACATACATAACCACGGCCGCCTTTAACTCCGTTTGGTTAGTCTATGACATAACACATGTGACATAACTATGGTACTAAGTACAAATGATTTCAGTGTATTTAAAATTTGGTGTTTTTTCCTGATTACTTGTGTAAGTGTAACTTAGAGATGAAAAGAGTAAAATGTAATAGTAGTTAATAAACGCGAGTTGCGTACACTACTTTACCTACGACAGTTTTTTAATTTAACAATCTGGTTTTTAGTTACTAACAATCACTACTAATAACTTCTTAGAGAGGTTATGTTTTCGTTTATTGTCGGTGCCACTGAAAGTGAGGATAGCAACGACTTAGCTGATTTCATGTAATCACGTGTTTGTAAAACTTCGTATACAGGGTGTTTTTTTTTAAACTTGCATCTTTATTTATGTAAAAACCGCAATAGATAGAAATATGTAGTTTGCGGGAATCATCTATTGACGTAGGGGGCCCAATTGTTTTGAATTCAATGTTACATTCACATTCCCCCCTGCCCCCAACTTAATTTTTTTTAAATAGCAAGGTACCTCTTGTGTCATATCAAATGAAAGAGCATGAAAAAAGAAAATGTTTGGTGAAATTTATTTTTCATTTGATATGTCACGAGGGCGGGTACCTTGCTATTAAAAAACAAGTTATGAGTAGGGGAAAAGGGGGGGGGGGTTATCTCACAAATTCATGAGCCGATTTTAAATTTTTTTCAACAGAAATTTTCTTTTTTCATGCTCTTTTATTTGATATGTCACAAGGGGTACCTTGCTATTTAAAAAAATTAAGTTGGGGGCAGGGGGGGAATGTGAATGTAACATTGAATTCAAAACAATTGGGCCCCCTACGTCAATAGATGATTCCCGCAAACTGCATATTTCTATCTATTGCGGTTTTTACACAAATAAAGATGCAAGTTTTTAAAAAAAACACCCTGTATATAATAAGTTACCTTTTTCAGGGAACAGGTTCTGCTAGCAGCATTCTTACCATAAATACTGTATTAGGTACAATTAGGGAAATATTGCATTTTTTATTTTTTTTTTACAACTCCATGATTATAGTGAAAGAGTTAATTTACAGTTAGATCTCAGCATAGAATATTATAGAATATTATAAGCAGTTTGTGCTCTCATTTCCATCTCGTCAACTTCACTTTCACTAAATGACATTTTTAAAACAGTTTAGTCTACCTTCCTTTAACTTCCACCAACTTAGGTTAAGAATACTCGAGTATCAACAGGAACATGTAAGATCAACAATTAAAATTGTCAACTGATCAGCTGATTAGTTGACGTTCGAAGCATTACAATTTTAATTCTTTTCTCTCAATACTTGAACCTCATTGGTCCGTTACCTGTGTTGATATGAGAAAAACTATGCTGATATGAAATGAAACTATGCTGATATGAAATGAAACTATGCTGATATGAAAGTAAACAACTGTTAAGTGAAACTTTTCAATTCTAAGAACTGAACTGAAATGTATACTTTAAAACGGTCGTAGGTAAAGTAGTTTTATCAACCCTTTATACTTTAAATGATCAATCATAGCAATTAACAGTGTTGTTCAGTGTTCTGTTGTACTGGGCTGTCATACATGACATTGACTTTCTTCACTCCATATAATCTAGGGAGCAAACTCCCTTATCTCTTTTATTAAGTACATAATCATTGATCTATAAAGGTAGAGAATAGGCTACCGGTACTGTGGATAGCCATTTTAATTAGCCAATTCAAGGAATGAATACTCATTCGAAATTATGAATTAAGTAAAACTGCAAAGTGAGTAATACCAGAAATTTGTATCGAGGCGACTTAGAACCGGCCACGGGCTTTAAAAGCCCACCATTAACTTGCGATCATGTTCGTGACGGTGTTGGCGGCGAACATTCTTGCCCGTGTATATGGGGTCTGTGGCCTGTGAACCTTCGTACCGGCGAGCATGTTGTGCTCAGCTCGTCGGACCCGGAGAGCCCGAGCCCCAACACGAACATGCTTGCTCGTCTGTGGGGACGACTAACATGTTCGCGAGCGTACATGTAAAAACATTTGAAAAAAACGGCCGAGAATGTCTTCGAAACAGTCTTCAGTCATACTCAGGTAATATTTATAATTTGTTTCGTTTGATGCAAGTTCTGCAAACAGAGACATGTGATTAACCCGGTTTACTGTTTTAAACCAATATCTCACACCATATTTTTCGTGGCTTGCGTTTTTTCATCTTCCAAACAAACAAACCCATCAAAAAGCCACATCAGCGTTAGCATCCATTTTAAACACGACTGTCAAAGCGCGAGAGAAGAAGAGAGTACCGGGTGGTGGCGGCGAGCGATATTCACGAGCATGCTCGATCGTTTGTCGGGATCACCGAGCATTCGCGTGCATGCACGAACCTCCCCCCCGCACCGAACACGAGCCAAGTCCTTCGATCTTTCATTAGTTGACCGATTTCGGGTGTGAAAGATCCGGACCCAAACAATACACATATCTCGGACCGCTACACGAACCATGGACGTGCTGTTCCCACGATACGTATTGATACAAGCCCTTGGTCATATCCATCCGTGGAATCGCCCTACCTCGCGCCGTGGGAAGGAGGCTTAAAGCTGCCATATCTCAGTTAATATTCGTCCAATCTTAAAAAGTAAGGAAACAGTTTTTTAGTGTTAAAATTGTATTACCTACCAGAAGTTCGTAAATATCAAAGGGTGTTCCAAACATAGTTGCCGGACTTATACTTTGTTTACAACACTTCCCCACTACTCCTTGTGGCTACCAATCACCACTATTTTTTTTGGGAGGAACTTACCTCGTGTTCTCAGGAACGGTACGGGTAATTAAATTGTTTCCAACAAAATCAAAGAAAAATGCTCTATCTGTTGTAAATTTTTGTTTTAGAAAAAAGTGTTACAAACGAAAAGTTCTAAACTTCCATGTTTATTTCCAAACGCATTTCCGGTGTAAATGCGGCCTTACTCTCAGTTCCACATGACTTATCACTGCCACTGCTTCCATTAAAATGTCTTGTTCCACCTTATCCTTATTTTTAAATTTTTTTATTGTCATTTTTTCACAACTCACTAATACCAGTTCCTTTTGTTCAATCGTGAGAAACATTATCAGTTGGCTAGTGAATAAAGTTATTGTCGTGTTTTGCTCGATTTTATTTATGTTTGACGAGATACTTTATTTCACATTGAAAATCATACACTGTTTCTGTAAAATGAACGAAAAACCAAGTCGCAGTGAGTTTTTTTTATGTTTAGAAAGAAAGCGGCAGAAAACCTTGGGACAGTGGAAAAAGTGTTACAAAACTTTGTAAAGTAAGTAGCTTTTTATGAATTAAAAACAGTACCTCCATGAACTGTCAGATAATACTCTGAGGAGGTACCTACCTCTCAAAGCAAAGGGTATGTAAACCCGTTTAAGAAATTACGATGATTTTCAATCAGTAGCAGAACCAGTAACGACAGTAACTGACAATATAAGTGGACTATTGTCAGATACAATAACAGAACCTAGCAGTGTAAACAGCTGTTCGGTATTATCATTATATTTAGTTTTAATTGACTATTTGATTCCCGTGGGCCAACCACACAGTGGTACGTGGGGGGGGGGGCACGGGGTTGGTTCGGGTTACTTAAAAAACACCAATGATCAAGGACAGCTGGGTTCATTGTTTACCTAACTATTAAAAATTAAAAGGTTTCCGGATTTTCTTAGAATTGAAGAGCCGATACCTGAGTTAGGTGACCACTCAGATACTTAATATCTGTCTACGAAAAACAGCTAGTGTAAAGTTAAGTTTTTAATGATTCCAAAACAAAATCTGATGTTTTACATGTTAAATACTTTTCATATGAAAATCTATTTATAACCATCCATTTTCAAGCATGCCAATAATTATGCCACTGGTGGAAGTGGTCTTACAAATTAGTTCTTCATGAGGAGCCAGGTCATGATATAAAATAAATGTATAATTAATTAACTTGTGTCTGCTTAGCATAATGCAATTTTATTATTTTATATTTCTTATTTACATTTATAAACTTAAAACAATACCAATAACACCAATATCTTACATTCAAACGTACTGTACATATTATTTTATCTAAACTCTAATAACTTGTTTCTAAACTGGAATGATAATTAAATTTGGTCTTTTGAATAGTAGATTTTTTTTGTGGAAGCGCCAAATAATTGATATTCTCTATCATAAACTTTATAAGAATAGATAGTTATTTATGTAGTTACAAACCTCTTTTTTACCTAGTTTGATTTCAGAACAATTACAAACAAATTATCCGATGCTAAGGTAAATAGATAAGACAATTTGTCTGGAAAGCGGAAGTATATCTTTATAATAGTTTAGGAAATGTGTAAAATATCCAGAGTAATCGGAATCCTTGAAACATTGAATTATATGCATGTAATTATTTGTACACCCCAAACCTGCCTGGTTGGATGGTTAAAGACTTAAAAGTAATTTCACTCAATTTGAATTTACTTTTAAACTAGTTTTAGAGATGTGTAACAAAATAATCACTTATCAGCTTTGAAAATACAGCAGTCATACCTTCTTTTACAATATATCACCTACCTACAAGCTTTCAGATAACTATATGAACTTGGGGGTTATGAAAAAGTCATTAACATATTATTTGACAGTTTCTTAGTGTAGTGGGGACAATGTTACAAGAAACACATTTCCGTACTTTTAATGTTCCTACCTGTGGAAACAAAAAAAAATATAACTATAACATCCAAAAACCCTAAAACAATCCCTACAACTATACTTTGAGTACAGGATCTTATTTTAGCCTAAGTCCAGAGACAAATGTTACATCTTAAGCAAATTGATCAAATTTTTATGAAGTTTACATTTTTGGACAATGATTTATGAGTGAAACCATCCATTCAACTCATCCGTTAAGACTACTAACGAAAGCACAAGTTGTAACTTAGAACAACAAGTCTTCATCGCCCTCGTCCAGCATGTTGGCAGCCTCTAGAGCGAGATTTGCTGCCTTGTTGGTCGCCTCTAATGCCTCACGCTTGACTCGAGCAATACGCTTCTTATCCTGGATCTTCTTCAATCTAAAACATTTTCGTTACCAAGATATCGTATTGCTATTATTATTATTATTATTATTTTTTCATCCCATGAAGCAAACAAGTAGTTCAAGGTGAAAATAAATTAAAGATAATCGTAGAAAAGGTCATAAATGTTTTGTTACTAGGTTCAGTTTTTTCTTTGGACAGCAAGAGTTGATTACGGCAACTTCTATAGCCAGTTTCAAACTGCCAAAAATCATTAAACCATTCTTGGGTTAAATTCTGTAAACTTTCAATACTAAACAAATTCTTTAACTACCAAACCGCTCAACTGTGGTATGAACACTAAATAAAAGGTGAGATCATAGATCTATGACTAACTAATAGGGATGCAGGGTGGTGTTTCTTTAAGGAAATAACGCTTTTCTGAAACTGGACAGGTGATAATGAATTAAATCAATAAAATTATGATTTGAAAACTTTTCCATTTTTTGGTCTTTTTGACTCTGTTTCGTTCAAGTAAGCCTTTCTAATAAAAGTCCTTAAAACCTACATGTTTTAGACATTAGACCCATTTTGTGATGGTTTTAAGAGAGGCACTTTTAAATGTTCACTATGTATATATTGATTGAAAATGGATTATACATTTGTTTAAGTAATGTTTTCGGCAGTTAACATTTCTAATTTCTGTTTTCTTATGCTATACTTATGTTACAAACTAAACAAAATAGCAGTTTAGTCTTAAATATTTAAATCACCAAAAGTTGCCCCTTGAACCCATAAAACACTTCACATGCCTCCTTTTAACTTTGGTCTAGTACGTTTATATGTAAAACTTACATGAACAAACATACAGAACAAAATATATTCAGACAATACATCATTTAAATATTTAGTCAACCTTAATACCTTTCAAGGTAGATGAGGCCTTTGGTAAAAACTAAATCAATCGTTTAAAAAATACTATTTTTGGCTTTTTATGAAACAGTCTAAAAATAATAGTAAAATGTAAACTGAAGAGTTTAAGATTTACATAATACGTAAAAACAATATATTGTTCCCACCATTGCGACAATTTTGTTTCAAATTCGACCAGTAGATCCACAACAGGTGTGAGATCTGATGAATGACAGTAAAATAAATTACCTGTAAAATTCCTCTCTCTCCAATTCATCCAGTTCTGAGATAATGTAAGCCAGAGTTCGCTCAATACGAGGAATAATCACTGAAAAAATTACACAGCATGTTTAACTTTTGACTGATGAAATTAAGCCTTTCAACATAAGAAAGCTACATTAGCTCTTTGTAAACTATATCAGTGTTTCCCAGCCTCATGGGTCCAGAGCCGACAAGTGGCATTGCTTACAGCACAGCACGGAGAGCTGTTTGCCAGTGGATGGGTATAGAACATCGAAGGAGCTGGGAAAGAACAGAAGGCAATGTACAGTCAAAGAGAATGCTGCAGGCACCTACTGGTGCGATAGCGGCAGATGCCCTTTGGCTGAGTAGGAAGACCCTGCGGAAGGTGGTTGGCTTTATTAGCGGCCATTTTTTTTTTTTTTTTTTTTTTGTCTACAGATCTGTGCGTGGAACGTATCCAGCAAAACAAGGTGTGAGCCGGTACAGTACAAAGGTGAACTGTACTGATAAAAGTTTGTGGTAGTGACCAGGATCCGAACCCACGACACTACTGCCTTGGGCACGAAGTCCGCGACGCTACCAACTGAGCCACCGACTCACCATTGGGTATTCTGTGGACATTTACACAAGATAAGAATTCAAGTTGAAAGCCTCTTATTTAGGAAATGTGGAGAGGAGGAGGAGACAGCATTCCACGTGATATTTATGTGCCCAGCCCTACAAGGTCTGCGCATGAGATCCCTTGGCCTATCGACTGGAGATCAAAGGGAAGAACGGGTCACCATAGTCAAAAGGATCTTATGGTTCACAAAGGACCTGTGATTTGACGGAGAATGGGGACCTGTGACTGAGGGTGCACAATAAGCTGTTCCAGCTGCGCTGCAATCCCATGGTTACTTGTAAGCCTGGCCCTCTATAAAAAATAAAAATATCAGTGTTTCCCACACTAATGGATACGCAGAGTGGTGTTAGGCTACATGTTACATGTTGATGTTCTAAGATCATGTAGGCTATTATGTCAGGAATTGTTTGGGCTGGTGCATCATCAATAATTCAAAAACTTTCAGCACAGGTGTTTATTCAACAAGACTAAACAATAGAAGGGTGTAATTATTTTAAGTGTATTGAATTTAGGGAATTTCCCATATAGGGATAAGCTATTAGGGTAAAAGGAGGGAATTGGATAGGCCTACTAGGTTTTGTAAAATGCACTGTGTAGGCTTAACTGAGTATGCACACATTGGTTTAATGAGGTGTAAATATTTTGCACAAATGACAATTTTAATAATATTTCAATCGTCATCGTATCCTGTGGTCATGGAAACGTGATCGTCGTCTACGATCGTGGCTAAATAATGAACATCTCTTGCTGTTGTCTTAACAGCATCAGCGTCTCCCATGGTCACGAAAAATCATGTAAATATTATTTGATTTTACGTGGTCCATAAAATTCCTGACTGTTACAACCAAATTAAGACTAAATCCCGACTTTTCTAGACCATTTTGGAATTCAATACTAATTTCCGACTTTACCAATATTTGATACTTTGCTATAGGTAATGTAATTGAATTCATTTTACAAGAAACCACAATACATTTCAAGAATAAAAACACAAACTAACCGTGCTCGATGGCGTTCACTCTCCGATTAGTGATCTTGATGACATCGTCCAGAGTTACGAAGGAGGTCTGCAGTGATGCAAGCTCCACCAACAGTTTGACAGCGCTCTGATAGTTCTTCTTCAGTTTGGCCAACTGTTGACCACCTCGAGCCAGACCGGCCAACTCGTAAGTGTCTGTGCCGTCTTGGTAACTCTCGAACACTGGCAGAGTTACACCTGGAACAGTATGATACTAGTATTAGAATAGATTCCCCTTAAATTGCTCCACATTTTAAGTTTTTTAAGAAACACTAAGCACATTTACAAACAACATAGTCTGGTAGAACTAAACAACAGAAAAGAATTTAGTGTATGAACCTTCACAGACAAATGTAACTTTTAAGCTATAAAAGGTTAACTGGTTTCTCCCTCAATTAACAGGTATACTCATACAGTAATTTAAAAGGGTGATTAATCACTAGCCAAGAGGAGATTAAACTACTGTATTTCACTTGTCACTGACCAGCCACGTTATCCTTCTTTGTGCGCACTTTGATCTGAGCTTTCGTTACGTTCTGGAGAACCACCTGGTTGAAGTCTCCGGTGGTGAACTTGGCTTCGGCCAATGAGAACGCAGCTTCCTTCATGACCTCCCCCATCAGAGTTTTAGTCTAAGGACAGAGTAAATATTTTACAATAAAATATTTGTAATTGAATTGAAGTAATAGACTACAAGTTCTTACCATTGTAACATGTGTTTTACAACACAGTACCGGTAACAACTCCAAAATTAGTTTAATGTCCTAGTCATTATTATGGTATTTAGCATATCAGATGCCAGTATGCATAGTCTATCTCGTACGGCACCTTGATTAACAGACAAATGTTTAAAAATTACATGAATATGAATGTAGTTTAAACATCTTCATGTCTTACCTCAATAATTTTACCAAGAATCAGACGAAATCTCATTTGCAAAGCATCAGCTTTCTTCTTTAACAAACTGTGTCCCTTTTGAGCTCCCTTGAGACGACTTTTCATCAGTGTCTGAGCACTGCAAAGAAAAGACATGTTAAGTCATTTCATAATAAACTTTCATTCAGATATACCTACACTTAAGTGCTACCGATAGTTTTGGAGCTTTCTAACAATGTGTTGACATTAAAAAGTGGAAAGACTATCTTTCCTGTTTCATGACTTGGAATTACGTCCAGCTGTCCCTGATCCTTTGTTAGGCTTTTAACAAATGGTCCTGGCAAAATAAATATCCGATCTTAGTCGGTAACAAAACTACACAGGTACAAGGTCTACACAGGTTACAGGTTACAATACACGACATTGTAACTACCCAGCCATCCAGAGACATAATCTAGAGTTCAATACAGTAGACTCCCACTTATCCGGACTCCTCGGGACCGAGGCCAATCCGGATAACGGTTTTTCCAGTTAAACTGACGTCCCCAAAAACTCGTTAAAACGGACCGTTTACTGTGATATTTGAAATAAATTTAGGAGAGCATTGTATTTAGTCACGTGATCACTGGTCTCAAATCTTTCCCACGAGAACAGTCGTTTCAGCAGTGGCGTACCGACACAATTGGGGGCCTGGGGCGGCTATTCATGAGGGGGCCTATATATATATATACATATATATATATATATACATATATATATACATATATATATATATACATATACATATATATATATATATATGTGTTTGTGTACGATTATTAAATTTAGATAGTTATACATTTTTTACTACTGCTACTGTAATAAAAAATTATATTACTAGTTATAGTTACTAAAGTTTCTATTCTGTATCAAATAAATTAGTATCAAGAGCAATATAAATAAACAATATAAATTTAGTAGCAAGTAAGATGAAGGTAACAGATACAGAACACAGACAACATAAATTGGTATGTTCAAATTTTATTCTAAAATTACAAGAAAGTGTGTATATACAAAACTGGAGAAAAACGACATTCCAGTATTTCAGTGAAATGAAAATACGAGGAGAAACACATTAAAATGTTTTTTTTCGAGCCTTAACTTCAGAAAACTGCTTGATTACTTCATCAAAATTTACACGTTTTGCAGTCTCATTTTCAATAGATAGCAAAGCCAAGCTTGTCAAACGAGATTGGCTCATTGTAGAGCGTAGGTAAGTTTTTATCAATTTGAGTTTGGAAAAACTCCTCTCACAAGAAGCCACAGATACACAAATGGTTAGAAACAGTTTAAGTGCCTCTGTTATGTTTGGCAACGATTCACGAAAGTCCATTTCAATAATAAATTGTAGCATTTTCAGTGATGCCCACGAGGCTGCAACATCAGTTCCTATGCTGGAAGCCTTCAGATGCCGTCTCAGTCTTTTTACTTCTGGTAACATCTCTTGTTCCTCTACATCGTCGAAAGCAGTGGTGAATCGGTTTATATAAGTCATCATAGTTTGGTCGTCTTCTAGTTTTGCAAGATTTTCTGAGTGCACAACAGCAAATTGTTCATAAACATTTTCCATTGATGTTAGTCTTTTTTCTAGTTCCTCATGAAATCTGTCGATGCACTCTAACATAGAGCGTTTCAACTCTTGTTGGGGGGTCAAACCTGCATCTTGAGCAGTTTCTCCTGGCATCATTTTTTTTACTCGTTTGCGTTGTCTCCGTTCCAAGTCGATGTCCATTTCCGCACAAGTTTTTGTTCCATATTCTAAAGCTTTATCTGTCAGCTCTTCCCTACTCTCTTCTAAAAATGTTTTCAACGTTTTAAGCTTCAGCAAACACTTTTCCAAGCTAATACCTTTGATTTGAAGGTACTTTTGTGCATGGTTTACCTCTACCAAAATGTGGTACCATAAGTGCAAAAAAGAAAGAAAATTAAAATTACAAATGTTGGTCATCAGCAATTCCGCTGCTCCCCTTGTATCTAAATTTTCTGAAGGATCGCGTAGTTTCTCCACAGCATCAACCAGCTTTTTAAAGTTTTGGAGGATTGGTTTTACCGCATCGTGATGCGCACTCCATCTAGTCTCACAAAGTCTCTTCACTGTCACGCCTACGGTTTCTTTAAGTATCTCCCATCGATGTGTAGAACATGAAAACGTGTTGTAAACACTTTCTAAGGTTCCAAAAAATGTGACACAAACTGAAACACTTCCAAAAGCATGAACGCCACATAGATTGAGGGAATGGTTTGCACAAGGTACGAAAATCGCTTTTGGATTTTGATCTTTAATTCTTGTTTGTACTCCTGTGTGGATACCTGACATCGTTGTAGCATTGTCATAACCTTGGCTCCTACAAAGTTGTAGATCCAAACCGTCCTTTTCAAGTGATTGGATTATGGCTTCAGTAATATCATGTGCCTTTTTTCCACCAAGCTGAATAAAACCTAGAAATGACTCTTTCACCTCTACTTCCCGGTTGTCAATTTTCACATATCTTATAACTTCACTCATCTGTTCCATGTGAGCTATGTCAGGCGTGCTATCAAACAGTATTCCATAATACTTAGCTTTTTTGATTTCGGAGATAATTTCTTTTTTGACGGCGTTTCCCATGAGAGAAATAAACTCATTTTGTACAGCAGGCGATAGGTAAGAAACTGGAATTTTTCCTGCTTGCAACGATTGCTGAAGTCGTATGTTGTGCTCCTTTAAAACAGGGTCGTAATGTGAAAGAAGTTCAACCAGTTCTAAGAAATTGCCACGGTTTTCAGAGTCAACGCCTTCTCTGTGACCTCTAAAAGGCAAATTCTGTGTAGCCAAAAAAAGTGTGATGTCTAAGAGCCTATGCAAAATGTCCCTCCATTTCTTCCTCTCTGTTTCCATGACTTCCTGGTGAGCAGCATCGATCGTTTTGTTAAGGGAAAGGCTTGCTTGAAGAGTTTTCCATTTTTCAAAGTTGTTAACATGTAATTCAGAGCTTTCGTGATCAGACACTTTAGGATTTAATTTCCACCAACTGTTGAATCCTGTGATGAAACTGGATGCCAAGGGTTTCTTTGGATTGTTATCAAAGAGCTTGCAACAGAAACAAAACAAGCATTTCTTTTCAGGAGAATAAACCATCCATTTTCTTAAAATCTTTTCTCCACTGGGAAGCCGTATGTAGAACCAATTACTGCTTAACTGTCGTGTGTGACCTTTGGAACTTTCCCCAGGCTTCTCTACAGCTGCGAACGGCCCTTCTATGTGTTGATACATTTCACTCCCCCGCCTTATTATATCTGTCCTAATGCTATCTGGCACAGGAGTAGGCCAATTTCCAACATCAAAATCTAATGATAACTCCTCTGGTTCTTCTGGTGGATGCAACTCTGGGTCATAACTTTGCAAAGTAGATGTGTCTTCTTCATATTCCTCGTCTTCCACATTCTCTAATTCTTTGTCTTCCTTGTCTTCCCCATTCCCTCCTTCATCTTCCATGAATTCCTCATTCCCTCGTTTTTCATATTCCTTGTCGTCTTCAATCCCCTGAACTCCTTTTACTTCTTCTTCATATCCTGGTCGTTGGTCATAGCTTGTACTTGTACTTTCTAAAGATTTGGGCACATCAAGCTCCGCTTCATTGTTTGCTGGAAGTGATACCCTCTGAGTAAATTTCAAAATTGAGCCTGACAGACGTTGAATTTCTTGTTCTTTAGCTTTTTGTTTTTTCTTCTTATCCCATCCACTTTGATAGTTTCGTTTCATTTTATCATGGGTCTAAAAAAAAAATAATAGTTTTACCTCCGCTCCATCTTTAAAATCAAAAGGCAAACTCAAACTTAACACTTTAAGCTTTTACCTCTAAGCCTTTTTTATATATTTCTCTGTTACTGCTATTTATTTATTTAGGTTACTGTTATGTACTACTGTATTATGTATGTTGTCAATATCATACATTAATTTCAACACATGTTTTTATTTAACCAAAATAAAAATAAATATGAATATATGTCTTCCTCTACCTCACCTCTACAATAATAATGCAAAAAGAAGAAAAACAAAACATTGTGCAATCCCTATCAAACTGAAAAGTGCCGTCTAGTGTCTACTTCCACCCAATTTGGACACTGTTCATTTAAGATGGTCTCTCAATACCAGCTTAGCCACACATTCACATTACAAAGCTAAAAGAGAAAGGGAAACTAATTAGGCCTACAACCTTACAACTCAAATTATATCAATAAAACTTAAAACAACCCTACCAATTAAATAGGCCTAATTTGTTATCAGATAAAATACTGTTCCATATATTTTTAAGATAGGCCTACTAATAGCTAAAACAACCTATACTGTATACCAATACTTGCATCAAAACCAAATAATTTGAAATAATCTAAATAATCCAACTTCATACGATTAAGTTTGATATAAACTAAATAACTTACCAAAAACGTAATTTGATGACAAAGAGAAGTCGTAACATACAAGGAGCTTGTAGGCCTATGCCTATTCTAAATGCTTCAATGCTAATGCTTGATGACGAAATAGCACTATCACAGAATCGTAAATACAAATATCAACATGTCATTAAAGTATACGTTAAAAATAAACCACATTAAACGCTTAACTAGTAACTGACCACTACTTTAACACCAACACACTACACAGTGACTTACAACCTTTAAATTCTAAGCTCGTCGGGCAATTCAAATTCGCCAAACGGCCAAAGCGGGCGAGTCTATGTTTCTAACAGCGTTGGCCGTAGGGGTGGAAGCATTGTCCAAGGCCACACAGCCCCACGACAACAGACTACAGAGTAACAGAGTTATGGTGGTGGACGGCGGACACTGTCGCACATTGCTTATAACGGCGTGTATCGTGCACACTGCACACACAATGGCATTTCTGTTTGTTTTAGCTCAGTTTTAAATAACTATGTAAAATAAATATAAATCATGATTGAAAATAGTATTTTAAAAATAATTTAGGCCTAATTTAGAGATTTTCTCTGATTTTTTAAAATTTTTTTATTATTTTTGTATCTAAAAAAAAATAAAGTCTACCATTTGGGGGCCTATGCTAGTGTGAGGCCTGGGGCGGGCCGCCCCCCCCCCCCCACGGTACGCCACTGCGTTTCAGTACCACCCACTTCCTGCCGATCTAGTCCGGTTAAACCAATGTGCTGATAAAAATTGTCCGGTTAACTCTTTAACCGGACAATTTTTATCAGCACATTGGTTAACATCTCTATGTCATTTCTGCCGATTGTAATCCGGTTAAACCGATGTCCGGTTAAAAGGTGTCCGGATAAGAGGGAATCTACTGTTATAAAAAACCCACAGATACAGGTGCTAGGTTCTTTTACCCTCTTCTAAAAGAGTTTGTGGCAATAAATAACGCCAAGATCATCTATTTTTAGATATTAAGTTATTGACGCCCATTCTGTATCCATTTATGTTATAAATCATGAATATAGCATTTCTGATTCTGATCTCACATTATTTTACACTCACACTTAGAACCGCCCGGGCTCCGTGTTTGTGGAAGGTAAAAACTTTTCTAACAGCGTTAACGATTATTATGGTAAACGATTATTCTACTAGAAAAATAAAACACAGGTGCAGTTTTGCTGAGAACCTAGGTATATTACCGGATTAAATTTCTATATCGATTTAAATTAGTTTCAATATTGATATTGCATCAGATTTTATTTTACCCCATAAGATAGGCCTATATCAAAACATTAAAAAATATGATCAAAGTTGTTATTTTTTGCTTTCTTAACATTCATAATGTTTTTGGTTAAATATTGTTATTAAAGTTTTATTTATTAAAGATCAATATCAATAACTTATTAAAGTAGGCCCTACTTAGATGTAGGCCCTACCTATTATTAGGCCTACCGGTACTTAAATTTAAATTCAATGTTTATATTTTTATTAGGCATAAGTAAGTTTTTGATGTATAGGCCTACCTTACATCAGGAGGAAGATAATACTTTAGTAGCGATATATCAAACTGAATCAAAATTGATAGTATCAATATTTAATCCGATATCAGGCTTATCGCAGGTTCTCTACAGAACTATAGCCCCGTAAACAAAAAATAGTGACTAAGTCAATCTAAAAATTAATAACTTCCTAGTTGTATCTAAGTTACCTAATTAACTTTGGTTTTTTTCATAAAATGTATAGAAACTGTAATTTATAACTCAAAACAATTAGAAATTTGTACTTATAGGGATGCACTGTGGATGCGATGCTCCCTGGTGTGGATTAACGTCCGCGCTAGTGAGTAATACGACTATCCGCAGTACTATCCTAATAATTAGACCAATTCGTTAATTACGAGGAAAAAATGTGGTTCAGATTCCAAAATAAACTGTAGGTCCCTTAGTTGCCATTAGCTGTATATGGGCTATTAATTAACAGCTGTGTCTAAGGAATATGTCAGCCTTACTCACTTACAAGACTACAAGATCGCGCCACTCATTCTTCACTTATATTTGGGTTAAAATACACACATAGTGGCGTCCCCATCTTATTGATAATTGATAGGCCAACCCTGCTGAACATTGTTTCTCCAATACTAGCCTAGAACTAACGATTTACAGTTGCACACTCAATCGGTAAGTAAGGCCTTTGGCATTTGAATTTAAGAGGGTTAAGCAGAAGTAGGCCTGGTCAAATATGTCAAAAATCCCAAAATGTTGGCAGAACCAAGCCTGGATGCTTAAACTCTTTTTTAAATTAAAATAAACTTAAGTGAGAGTTGGAAATGTAGCTTCACTCCTCGGTAATATTACGTCATGAAGAATGATTTATTAACGAATGTTTTCCGTTAATCTACATTCTACATTGACTTTATTATCAAAGAGGGTTTCATGAAGGTAGGGATGAAATTGTAAAAGGAGTGCTGGGTTATGATGATGTTGTAATGTCACAAATCTAAAATCAAACCATTATTAAACTCACCCTCGGGATGGAAATATGGCTAATCTGTCTTTTCCAGACATTTTTCACTCTTTTCAGTGCACAATTTAGAAATAATTACACTACTAATGTTCACACTTAATTTGCAGCCCCAAGTCAGTAAGCAAGTCAGGTGACACAAGAGAAGAAAACAGAGTTATCAACTAACTTACTAGTATTAGACTGAGAAGAGAAGCAATATGATTGGCCAACACCTTTAGATAGATCAGCTGACTCAAGTTGCTTACAAGCCATAGAGTTTAAAATAGTTATGTTAGTTATATGACACGAAAGTCACTGGGATGCTTATAATTTGATTGATCCGAATGAAATTGAATTATGTCGAATAGATTAATATCTTATCGATATACTGTATGGACCTATGCTATCATTTAAAAATTCAGTTTTTTCTTGCTAATGGCAAGAAATCATTATTTTATTCCTCTTTCAAATAATTTTCGTTGTTTTGTAGTCAGCTGTGTCCAGTGGTCCAGTCCAGACACAATGCAATCCAAAGCCAAGGCCACTGGCTGAATTTTTATTTCAGGATTAGTGTTGCCTACAGTATTATTTTGAGGCTTCTGATTGGCTGAGGGAACATCATTACCGCGACGATACGGTAGATGCCAACGGCCTCGGTGGTATAGTAGATAGAGTAATGGGCTGATGATCCGAAGGACCCGGGTTCGAATCCCACCCGTAGCACTTTTTATGTATTGGATTGTTTTCATTATCAACAAGTTTGGTTGGTTTGGTTAGGTTATGACGGTTTTATTTTATAATTAAAACATTATGAAACTGAATTTGACCCATTTATAGTTTTATTTTATAAACAGAAATATTTTTTCTGTTAAACCTTCATTTGACTTTTCATTATTAGCAAGTCTGGTTAGTTTGGTTAGGTTATGATAGTTTTTATAATAAAAAAAATATAAAATAGGATTTGAGGCATTTATAATTTTATTTTATGAACAGAACTATTTTTTCGATTAATAAACCTTCATTCATTAGATTTTTTCATTGTCAGCACGTTTGGTTGGTTTGGTTAGGTTATGACGGTTTAATTTCATAATAAAAAATAAAAAATTGAATTTGAGGCATTTATAATTTAATTCTATGAACAAAAATAATTTTTCAATTACTAAACCTTCGTTATGGTCAATCAGAAGCCTCTAAATGACACTGGTGGCAAAATTAATCCTGAAAAACAAATTGTGCAGACCACTGACCAGAGCTACCCTTCTCCCTCTATCATGTGATCGTACTCTATGAAAAAAAGTTCAGTTTGTTGAATGACGACGTTTGACTTTTGACTATAAGATGACGATACACTGATACAGACAGATGGATACGATGCAACAAACATTGCAGACATTGTTTTGAGTTAAATGCCAACAACATAAATATTTCGTAATCAAAGTGTTGTATATATTATTCATTAGTTTTATTACCAGGAAGATTGATATGTCGTTAAAAATGTATGATTTAAGTAGACACTTAACCTATTTGCGATGTTCTTCACGTTTATGGTTATGTGACCTCAGTTAATGTTACAGTACTCTTAATAATCAGTATTGAGCTTTGTAGGTTATAACGGTGTTGCAAGGTCGGCGGATCTAACTTATTGACTATTTATTAATTAGTAAACAGTTAAACCGATAGTTTAATAACAGGTCATGTATTCTTCAAGATCTGCATCCCATAAGTATCAAGATTCTGTTCAAACATTAGACATGCCAATTAGAAAGAAAATTATACTTTACTTAGCTCTGCTTCTTTTAGTTCTTTTGTGGTTCATTGGTGTAAAAAATAGGGGTAAGTAGTGAGAAAATGGTTTTTTTTAACTTAAAGTGCTTTTAAATAGATTTTAACTTGTCTAATCAAGCTCTTGTAAGTATTCCTTTTGGCCTAAGTTATGCTACTTGAAAATTAGTCTCAGCAAACTGCAAATGTAAGAAAAAGTTTCTTAGCCTATGCCTATTCCAGCAAAAAACAAACGGGTTGGTCTTAGTTATTCCATTATGCTGTTTTAATATAGGTACTGTACTCTTATTGAGCAAACAAAAAACAGGTGCTAAGTACTTATTAAAACATACGATAGTTTGTCTTATCCCTCTTAGGAACTAAAATCTCTCAAAGGTAATTTCGGTGAAAAAGGCTGGAACAAAAAGTTGAAAGATATTTTGCAAGTAGCAGTAGCCTAAGTTAAAACTTATTGTATGTTGCCTCATCAACATTGGCATAAGCTACAGGGAAAGAAGCTGTTGATTGAATCATTGGTGATGTCATGAGACCTTGACCAATGGCTCACCAACTCATTACTTTCAAAACAATCTTGGCCTAGACCTAGGTCTACTCAAGGTTGATTCCCAAATCTGAACTGCTTGATAAAGCCTTGAGTTTTTAATGGGAATCGTAGTCTGTCTACAAATTTCCCAACTTAACTTATCATAACTAACTTAGGTACTGTAAAGTTAAAGGAGCTTAGGCTACTCTGCTGTATTTTACTCTTTTACTGCACCAAACGTGTACTGCACAGTCCGATTGCTTCTATTACTTAAGTATATGACTAATTTTAGCGAATTTCCCATTAACTTAACTTCCCAACTTAACTTCTAGGGAATAAACTATTATTGTAGGTCTCATGTTAAGACCTGGACCCGGGACGGATTAAGGTATTTATTTAATTTTTATTGTGGTCCCCAGGGGCCAAAACATCATCCATTCAAATTCATTTATAGCCTATTTAAGGTACCTATATAGCCTATATATATTATGTCCGTTAGTACCTACTTACAATAACTTGAGCAAAATGTACGCAATTTTGATTAAATTTGGGATAAACGTATAAACCTACATCTATGCAAACTAGTTTGCGAACCATTATGATCAGACCTTGTGAACTGGGTTTTATGGGGTAAAATTAGTTTATCCCATTTTTGACCCTGAAAACAACACTTCCCAACTTCTTTCTCGACCATTTTGTAGATCTTAAAAAATAAATTATTTAGTAAATTTTATTGAAGTGTTGTTGTATACTTAAAATAGTTCTGAGAAAATTCAAAAGAAGTGTAGATTAAAAATTCCCATGTTATTCTTAGGATGGAGAATAAATAAACTTTTGTGTAGTTTGCTTAATATGGATATATTTAAAATAAAATTGGCAAATTTTTTAATTTCATAATAAGCTATCAACATTTTAATAAAAACACACCTCATTACCTTCCCTGTAGCTGCAAACCTCAGTAGGCCTAACTTTCTCAATGAATATTATTGGAAAAGGATATAAACCTGACAAATTTTTTATGGAGATATTTAAGTGGAAATCTAGCCAATAGTTGATGGAAATTCGCTTAGTCTAACGGTTTGCTGCGGCGAGGGTATTTTACATTTCTGCATTTCATCGTCTTGTATCTTTTTTACAGATCCTCATCAATATGATAACATGAGGAGGACTCTTGAATTGTACGAATATCAGGTAAGCCAACGCTATCTAACTTGTCATTTTTTTAATTCCACACCATTAGCTTTTTATTACAGTTAGATTAACATTTAATTTTTACCACTGTTAGTCACTTCTCCAGCTATACTAAACTAATGAATTTTTGCGAATAACAAAATATTTTAATAACTACAATACCACACACACCACACACAGCTTACACATACACCTAGCTGGTACACTTACAATACTTATTTTTATTTAAAAACTGGTTTTGTTTTGTTGTAATAAAGATAAAATTTTCTACCAGCCAAATTTTGGGTCTTTTTCAGACGAGGGTCACCACTTTTTAAAACTGAAGAATAACCATAGTTTTAAAATTTATAGCTTTACTCACTTGTTTTTTAGCGAATTTCCCTATAGGGAAGTAGCTATTACCGTAGGTCTCATGGTAACACTTAGGCCCGGGACCGATTTACTTTTTCATTTTGATGTCCCCAGAGGCCAAAAACACCATTCGTTCAAATTTTTATATATGTATATATATATAGGCCTATATGTGCGTCTGTGAACACGATAACTTGAGTAATTTTTATCCGATTTTGATGAAATTTGGTTTAAAGGTGTAAGGCGGGATAAACTTGAATGAGTTCGCGATCCAGCATGATCGGACCATGGGAACAGGGTTTTATGGGGTGAAAATTGGTTTTTCTCACTTTTGACCCTCAAAACACAAAGTTTCCCAATTTTCCTCTAAACCTTCTTAAAGAGCTTAAAAAAACAAACAATTCAGTATATCAAAGTGTTTTTGTACGGTTATTGGTTACGGAGAAAACTAAAAAAATGGTCAATTTAAAATTCCCATGTTATTCTTATGGAGAATATTATAAAATGTTGTAGTTTGCTTGTTTATGGATATCTTTTGATCAAACTTGGCAAATATATTCATTTTATACTAAGCAATAGGCCTAATTATTTTACTCAAAACACACACTTTATTAGTTTCCTTGTAGCAGCAAACCTAGGTACTCATTAAACCTAATGTTATTTAAATAGATCAATTGAAAATCAATTCAGCCAAATGGAAATTCGCTAAGACAGCAGGTTTGCTGCGGGGGGGGGTATTTTACTGTAGAAATAATTACAAAAACTCAAATCACCTAATATAAATGGTTGTTTTTCCACAGTTTAAATAATGGCAGCCCTTTTTGGAAAAAGACCCCAAATTGAGGTATGGTAAACTCAAAAGTAACTTTGTTGTCTTTTTAATAATTTTACCCCAGTAAAGTGTTACTAATGATAAATATGTTCTTGTTGAAAGTACATTCATGTAGTCTAAGTTACATCTGTTCACTTTTCACAACAATCTGTCTTTAGTTGAAGGAGTCCAAGGAACATATGGCAGAGACGATGAGGCTATTAGGCCGTAGAGATTGTGTGACGTGGGATCCGGATCTTCCCGTCATCTACGCAATCACACCAACCTACGCTCGGCCTGTGCAGAAGGCTGAGCTTACTAGGTGAATAACTTATAAACAAGCATATCTTTATCATCACTTTACCACTGTTATAAGATGGGACGCTACTTAGGCATATTTCAATCCAAATTTGAATAGACTATGGGTGGGGGATAGTCAAAATTTGTGAAGCTAATTCACTATGATCATCAGTTTTTATAGCAAGAACTACTTATTAAAACCCAAATGATCGAAGACAGCTGGGTCCAGATTCAATCAAACCATCTTAAAAGCCACAACGTAGTGCATTTTTATGGTACCTGTAGAATTTAAAAGTTCTTAAGGTCATTTTGTTTCTTACAGGTATTTTGTTGCAGAAGGCCCATAGTTCCAACTAATAAGTTTAAAAATGCTCAGGCACAATTTTGGTCACACACTAATGCCAAAATATTTAAAGTACCATTTTCATATCAGGAAACAAACATATGTAGTTTTCATACATCACAGAGCAAAAAACACACTGAATAGATGGAATTCACACATAAGGTTGTCGATTCACATGCAGAACAGTACAAAAACAGAGGCACTTTAATACAAACATAGACGCGGACATAATCATAATACCTTTAAAAAAATTATATAGTTTTATATACACTAGACGCCTTCTAGTTTACCCACCTCGGGACTGGATCGGCCTGTGGGCCTGACCATCCGGCGACCGGTCAAACCGAAGCCAAACTATAGGGACACTTAGTGTATTACCAAACTTCAAATTTTAAGTAATGTAACAAAACTGTTCCAACTGTTTGCAGGCTGTCCCACACTCTAATGTTAGTACAAAATCTTCACTGGATCGTAGTTGAGGACTCGGACCACAAGACAGCGCTAGTGAGCAGTCTGCTTACCGAGACTCACTTAAACTTCACTCACTTGTACGAGCAAACCCCTGCAGAGTGGAAGCACAAGCCTAAAGTAAGTGACTTAGTGGGTGATTATGGGATTGGTTATACAAACAATGCTACAATTATAGGAACAATAAGTTTACTTATTGATATTTATTGCTTAAAATCCTGTTTGTCTTATAAATCATTTTTAATTATTTTTGTTAGAATAGCAACAACAGGATTATAGAATGAATTGAGTTGCTGTTCCCAAACCTTTCCTCAGTTGAAAATGCAGTCAGGGACAGTGAAATATCCTTAATATTGTATAGGCTATTATAATGCATTTATAATGTTATAATGCATTATAATGTTTTTGTGTTATTTGTGCCAAAATGAGATGCTTTCCCATCCAGGTAAGCCTATCGTAACAAAATGCTTTCCTAACAAAATTCCTTCAAACCTAGGCCATTTTTCTTTATGATACATCTTTTACCTCATTCTTAATCATATAATATAAAGAAAGAGTAATATTGTACAGTAGAAGGAAAAATTAAAACAATCTGTCCTATGTACACTTTAACATCAAAGGCATTGGTTTTTTTTTTTTCAGACAAACGGTTGAATTTTAAACCCTAGTCTTATAATTATCTAAGCCCAACCTGTTTTGAAAAATAAAATAATCATTAATTAATAGACCAATGTAAAATAATGGTAATTGAGTTCTGAAACAACGATTCTCAATTTTGGACCAGCAACTGTGAGATTTGATAGGGAGCTCTTGGCCACCCAAATAGTTACTTAAGCAAGTCATAAACATTTATAAACAACCAATGTATTAATTTCTACAGTAGACATATACAGCTTAATGATTAAAAATGAGAACATAGCTTTTTTAGCTCTAAAACTGCAAACTCATAGAATCCGTTTCAATTGGGGCAATTTGTAAATCAAATTAAGGGGCTCTGAAACTAGTAATTATGCTACATTTGTTCTACATATTTTAAATATATTCAGAAAGTTATTTAGAAGAGATCAGTTCCCAATAAAACAATTCAATAAAACCTATGATGTTTTGAGCAATTTGAGTAAATTGCTTTTGAGGTAATTTTTCTCTTTCATTGAAATAAACGAGAATATTAAATATTCTCATTTTTTTGTGTTGTTATTTATTGTAAACAACAAATGTTGTAGTCCTCAATGTATCTGAAACCACTTTTTGTACAATTAACTGAAATGTTCTTTCTGTCAGGAGCCCAACTGGGTGAAGCCAAGGGGAGTATTGCAACGCAACAAAGCACTCGCTTGGCTACGAGCTAATCTCAACGCCGAGGTAGATCGTGGAGTGGTTTACTTTGCAGACGATGACAATGCTTACAGCCTTCAGTTGTTCAATGAGGTCAGTTTTGAGGGTCAACAGTTGGCCCAAAAAAAGTTTAAAAGTTGTAGTGTTGGTGTTTTTTTGGAACAGTTTAAAAACGTCTCATAGGACGTTTTAGGTGAGTTGGGCATAGTAATTTACTTCTTTTTCTTAATTTACAGATGAGGTTGACCAGAGAGGTGAGCGTGTGGCCTGTAGGTCTGGTAGGAGGACTGATGGTAGAGAAGCCCGAGGTGAACCTCACTACAGGCAGAGTGGTGGGGTGGAACAGTCAATGGCGGCCGGAGAGGCCCTTCCCCATAGATATGGCTGGGTTTGCCATCAATCTGCAGCATCTGCTGAAGCGCCCTGAGGTAAATGTGCGGTCATTACATTACAAGGCAAATATCTAACTAACTATGATCATGACTATCAGACACCCTGGGAAATCCATAAAGGTATAAAAAAATTACCTAAAGTTGTTATTGACGAAAAGGTATACTAGGATCAATGTCAAAACACTACACTAGACGAAAGTTGACTCGGTAGCCGAGTGGTAATAGTGTTTGCCACAAAATCTGAAGGTTACTGGCTCGAAACCAAGCAGGATAGATTCTGAACCATCTAATTATTTGTTATTAATGATCTGAGTTAATGATGCTTTCGAAGAAAAGGTTGACGTTAGATAGTAAATAGACCTAATTTGGGAATGTTGCTGGAAGTCAACAGTCCCGGAAGATCAAATAATTTATACCTGTGCCGCTAGGTCAAAAACTACAATGTTTAGAGTGTCTGTAGATCAAAAGTCCCAGTAAGTCAAATAATACAGTCCGAGCTAAAAACGTGGTCTATGTTAAAGCAATTGACTTATTGGGAATTTGACCTAATGCAACAGCAGTTTTAATATAACGAAATACGGTAAAATACAAGTTCAGTTTCGCTAAGTCAACAGTGCCGGAAGATCAAAAGCAATAAAAGTGAACGTCGATTCAGTGTAAAGTAGACCTCCTGCAACGCTTACTACACCAACAAAACTCGCTTTTAGTTACTTCTTGTTTTGTCATAATTAGAATAGAGCTAAAATTATCATATTTGGTACATAGCTTATCTATTAATGCTTCTTGCCAATTGTTTGGTCAACACTGTAAATAGGTATAGCCTTTCGTCAAAATTTGTGGCATAAAATACCCGCAAGGACGATCTGAAAATTTCTGGTTATTATATACGTTTGTAAAAGGAGATCCATTTAATTGTAGAGCTATTTTATGAGTTATAATGTAGTCTACATATAAACTGTGTAAATGTATTACGCCTCGGAAGGGTTGAAACCTGTCCAAACTATCATATATATTATTAAAACGTAAATGGGGTTTTTCCACGATTCTGAATCAACCAGACGATGGATTTTCATTAGTTTTGTGTTGAAAGAAAGACAATTTTGAGAACTAGGGAATTTCAAAGCTATAATTTAAAATTGGTGTCCCAGTTTTTTATAAATTAAGTTTTATTTTTTAAAAAGTCTAGCAGCCGATGCTAACCTTCTCCAATAAGTCAATGCTTCTAGCTAGCTTTTAGTACAATATAATTTGCTTAACATAACAGCTGTAACATTAAGCATTTGTGACACAAATTCAGCATTTGGAAGAAAATTCAAATACATACTTATGGTTGGCTTATTTATACTATGTGTAATGCTGACCATTGATACATTTAATTCTTCGGTACGAGGATGGCAGATTAATTAAATATGCATAGTAAAATACAGTAGTAGGATGTTCAAATTATTTTTTAAAGTATTCTTTGTAATCATCGATTTGTTTTAGTCCAATATAATTTGTTTTAACTAACAGCTGGTTGAATGTGCTATGTATACTTATAAAAGGCAAGGCCCTCACTGACACACTCACTCTCACTCACTCATCATCCAAGGGCGGTCCCAGGGGGGGGGGGGGTCAGGGGGGTCATGACCCCCCCAAAATATTTTTTATATATATAAACTATTATACCAGGGGAACTTTAATAATTTTTATTGCAAATCGTTCTGCCAAATTAAAATTCATTGTAGTCTTTACACTTGTGGCGAATGAAAGGACTAATTACAAACTCTAACCTAAAACTCATCGTTCGAGTCTGACTGTTTTTTGTACGTTATGAAAAGTAGGGAAGATCGGCAGACGACGGAGGCTTTCAGCCATATACAGCAACGGCAGTGTCCGATGCTGACATGCGACGTTCGGTCGCATTCTTCTTCTTATTTAATTTTTCGGCATTTATCATTCATTGAAAACTTGAATTGGGTTTGGGTGTTGGATAAAGAAAAGAAGTTGTATCAATAGTCAAAGCTTGAAAGGTAGTTGAATATTAATTTATCTGAGCTGAGCGTTAGGAATTTGTAAATTACAGTAATGTAATTCAATGATTACCGTAGCAAATTTCAAAACATTCAATATTAAATAGTATTCATATTAAGAGCCCCTGATATCATATTTAAGAATTCCACAATCCAATTGGATTGCTATTTTTTTTTAATACTATTAAAAAAAATAGCGTTAAGAATACCACAATCCAATTGGATTGCTATTTTTTTAATACTATTAAAAAAAAATAGCAATCCAATTGGATTGTGGTATTCTTAAATATGATATCAGGGGCTCTTAATATGAATACTATTTAATATTGAATGTTTTGAAATTTGCTACGGTAATCATTGAATTACATTACTGTAATTTACAAATTCCTAACGCTCAGCTCAGATAAATTAATATTCAACTACCTTTCAAGCTTTGACTATTGATACAACTTCTTTTCTTTATCCAATACCCAAACCCAATTCAAGTTTTCAATCGATTAATTTTTTTTTGTTGCTAGCCATAAAACAACAACAAAATGGTAGTGTCTCAGACTTAGATGTGGAAGGGACAGCACAACCACAAAATCGTTGCACAAAAACTTTATTCTCACGTTGACCCCTTGTAAAATGCCACTGGCACTGGCGTAGAAAAAATGAGAACACTGAGAACCTATTCTCCAGGCGGTAGCAGTGACGGGACGCCGACGGCAACGTTAGTTGGGTACCGGTAGTGTACTTTGTGTAGGTTAACTGTTGCTTACTGGGCAGGTATAATGCAGTCGTTTTGAGACCAAGTTCTTAAACACTTCTTAGATAAAATAAGTTCTCTGGTTCGAAATCTTGGCCTGATTTTGGACATTTTCCATTTAGCATGCACATTGGCACCAGTTGAAAGCATGGTGGAAACAAAAATACATCCACCATATGAGTTGAAAGTGTGTTTTCGTAAATCAATAACGCTTGAATGTGTTGTAATGTTGCGGTATCCCTTTGATACTGTATTAAAACCCCAAGTCTCAATAATGCGAAAACATGACATTATACAAGTTTATTTTTAGACAATTCTTTGACCTTTAAATAAACTGGGAAGCTTGAACACATTAAACTAGGCCCTCAAAATAGCTTCAAAACCACTCGTTTTAGCACGTTGTTCACAATTTTTTCCCCCTCCTTTGCTGGGGGGTATTCCATACCCCCCAGGCCCCCCGGTGACCCCCCCCCCAAAATATATGTCTAGGACCGCCCTTGCTCATCATCACTAATTCTCCCACTTACCCATTTACCTAGGAGGCTGAAATTCGATACATCGATTCTTTGGGCATTAAATAGGAAAACTGAGTAATTTTTATTATGATAGGGCATTCGAGCTTCGCCCCAGTGGCTCTGGAGTTTCCCATGTTAACCTTATGATTTTTCATATTTAAAAGGAATTAATGAATCTTAACTGCTGTGTCAATTAAACAATTTATGACAACAGCTAATTTGCAACCAAAAGCTGAGTGAGCGTTTCGAACGAACTTCAACCTGGAGGCGAGTTAACCCCAAGGCAAGTGAGCTCAGTGAACGAGCTCCAACCTAAAGGTGAGTGAGCGTAGCGAACGAACTTCAACCAGGACGTGATTGAGCCATGCGAACGAGCTCATCTTGAAAATGTATTAGTTAAACGGGGCAAAGCCAGCGGGTACAGCTAGTTATTCTATAGAATTATTAGGTTTTTAGCGAATTTCGCATATAGGGAATAAGCTATTACCGTAGTACTCATGGCAACACCTGGACCCGGGACCGATGTAATTTCTCGTTTTGAGTCCCTAGAGGCCAAAAATACCATCCGTTCAAATTCATATATATGTAAGTGTATAAGACATTTTGGGGACTTGACTTTTTCGGGTCTCAAGAATTTATACGAAAATACACTATTGCAATATTTTGAGGTCTTGAATTTCCGTATGTGTATAAGACATTCTGGGCACTTGACTTTTTTCGGGACTCGAGAATTTAGTACTTTTCGAGGACCTGTGCAAATTATTCCATTCCAAATGCAGCGCGTTATCGATCTTCACCCTTGTGTGGGCCTCCCATTCACTGACGGAATGTCTCGTGGCGTATGACGACCGGATATAAATAGTCACTTTACACTCACTTATCTCGTTATTTTTTCAGCATATTCGTTGACCCGTCTGCAGGTCTTATGTTGACGGGCTGTCAGAGCGTCTGTTGCAATAACTGGAATTCCTTATGTATGTTTGCTGCTGATTACGGTTAAGTATTGTTAGAAATTCCACCTAATCTTTAAAGTTACCCATTAAATTCATAGAAATAATAATATTTAACTGTTTGACGAGTACCCCTATTGTATTCAAAATACTAAACGGCCCAACCCAATATTTAATACAAGCCAAAGGTGTCTTATAGATTCCGAGTAAATTATTATAAACTATCAAATGGAGCATGTAAAGTGCATTATAAATAATCAACAAACCCTAACATAATTGACTATTGATTCAGTTACTGATTCGGGAATTACAATTGCTGATGATAACTGAATGCTCTGACCTGAAGCAGTGTTCTTCTTTACTTCTTTACCTATAAAACACATGGGATACAGCCTTTCTTCACTGATCACGTAATGCGTGATTTTCTATAAAGTCTTGGAAAAATAGATAGAATACAGGTGTACTGTATGTGGTTTACACACAAATATTCATCAAACTGTGTGATAGTTTGTTATAGCAATGAACAATTTGAGAGTATCGTATTGTTTAAGTCGATGGAAAATCTCCGTTGATCCTGTTTTACAAGCAAACCAAAAAGATACAGTAGTCACCACTCTATGCGACATATTCTAACCAGAAAATTGTAATCGTATGATTCTATAAGCATTGGTAGAATTGCAAAGTACTACACAAACATTATTTCAAGGGTAATAACAGTTACAATTTCCGCTGACTTTAAAAGAGTCAACTAAAATATTACTAATGGATACACAACAAAATGGAACAACAACTAATGGAAATACTCACGATGTACATATAACAGTTATAAGCATTGAGTATACACGTCAGTAGATACGTGTATACCCAATGATATAAGCAACGGTTGTTCTTGCAATTTATTGCTTATTGTTTTTTAGAGTTGTTTTCGGACTTACTCACACTCGTATAAGGTTTTCCAAGTTTGTCATTGATAATGTAGCCATGTTGCTTTGAAATGGCGACCATACAAATGTATGCATTTTAAGTCAAGTATGAATGGAGATGAGTGTGGGATGAGTGGAGCGATCTTGTTGTCCTGTTTGTGACTAAGGCCGACATAATCCTTAGACACAGCTGTTAATTAATAGTGCATACAGTCAATTAATAGCAGCAGAGGTCAAGTTTGGTATCAAATTAAAGGTTTTATTCATAAAAATACATTGCCGCAAACCCAAACTCAAACGATGATAATGATAATAACGTCAATGATGTCGCTAAAACGTATCGTTTGAAATTTACCAGCTGAAAATAAGTGAAATAGAAAAGGTTTTGGTTAAATACATCAAATTGTAATTGGACACTAGTAAATACTAGTGCACTTGTTGCTACCTCCCCCCTTCGGTTTCATGTATTCCTCTTAATCAGTTCAAACCTAGGAGGAAGAGGTGTATAGTCAATGATTAAACATTAATGTTACCTAATTAATGTTAAATCCTCCTAGATTCAAACCTGAAACACCTAGATCGAAACTCGCCTGTCGTTATTTTACCATCGCCTTTTTTAAAATATATTTTTCAAAAAAGAAAGATTATATTGATTTACTTTGGATTTTAAAAGTGTTAACGTTTTATTTTGTTAAAGATTTATGGGGATACGTAAATATTGTGGTGTAGTAAAGTATATTATATTGTAGTTAAGTGTTAAATTTTGAAATTTTAGGGTGAATCGAGATATATTTTTTTTTATAACATGGGTCTCTCTTACCTTAACATACATACCAAGTTTCATAAACATCGGTTGAAAAAGTGCAAAGATAAATATTTGTATGTAAAAAATACAAAATGGTGGATATCTGGTTAACGAAACGATTTCGGAAAAAATGTTATCCTTGATTTTCTGTTTATTTTGACCCAAGGAATTACTAGGTAAAGTATCTCCCCGCTTATTTTTAACACCCTGTTTATGATGTATTCTTGTAAGTGAAAAATGTAAGCTGGTAATACAGAAAGATGTTTTATAAATAATATGAATGTACTGGTGATCTGTATATTAATCCTTTTCTTGTTCTTAGAACTGTAAATTAAAAGTCCACTCAGCAGTCGTATCGTACGATGTAGTTCTTTCCATGCGTTGCGAAATGCTTAATTTGCCGTCCTCTTCAACCAAATCTATTGAACCACTGATTATAAAAAATAAAAAAAAATATATTTTACGCATCACACTTTTGGCTACAACTTTGCCACAGACGAAACCTCTCTAACCCAAAAACAAACAAAAATCTCGCATGCTAACTTTTTCATGTTAGAAATCACGATTTAAAACTATTTCACCATACATATCAATTTTTATTAGTTAGATGGGTAAATAGTTTAAAGTTCCAACAAAATAGTCATCGAGTAGGACTAACCAAGAAGCTCTGTGCCAATTTTCAAAATTTAAGCACAACTTTAAGTACACCAAAACACGAAATTATTGAAGTCATGCGTCGAGAGGACTATCGTTGTTTTTAACAGATTATACTTTTGACCTTCCGGCACTGTTGATTCAGCGAAACTGAACTTATATTTTATCTTATTTCGTTATATTAAAACTGCTGTTGCATTAGGTCAAATTCCCAATAAGTCAATTGCTTTAACATAGACCACGTTTTTAGCTCGGACTGTACTATTTGACTTACTGAGATTTTTGATCTACAGACACTGCAAACATTGTAGTTTTTGACCTAGCGGCACAGGTATAAATTATTTGACCTTCCGGGACTGTTGACTTTCTGCAACGCGTCCCCTAATTTGGTCTGTTCCCTTTCAAAAAATGCCATTAGCTTAGAAGAACACAGATTTAAAGAAAAGTAGCTATAACTACAATCAGCTGAACAACCTATTCCCCAATGCAATGCTAAAGGGTGCTGTGTGGTAACCTTCCGTCCACTTGGTTCTTTGTCTGAATAAGAATATGAATCTAACTTCCGTCCCGATCCTTATGGCGGTATATTCCATTATTGGTTGCCAGTTGGACCCTGTGAAAACTCAGAATCTTTCAAATGGTTTGAGTTGTACCCAGCTAACATTGATCATAGAGTAACCTTATAATTCTGCTTTAGAAATGAGTACTGATTGATGCTGTAGATTAATCACTGGTTCTTGGATAAAGTCGGATCTAAGAATCTGCCACTTCCCAGCTGCAATGGTGATCAACTATTAGACCTCTGTGTCTATGTTTTCACAGTTGTAATTTATTTGGTCAGACCTGTAGTGAATGTTTGTGTGACAGGTAAAGTTCCTGTTGCAAGTGAAAGGTGGGTGGCAAGAGAGCGAGTTACTTACTCATCTCACTACCTTGGACAGGCTTGAACCACTGGCGGACAACTGCACCAAAGTAAGTCAAAGCTTCTTGCTACACTCGGAAGTAGGCATCCGATTACGCTATAAACTTTGCATGAATGCATAATCACATGGTTTCAATTATGTAAACTTGAGAACACTGTTAAAGTGGAATGTTATGATAAATGTCTGAAATTCCCAGTTTCAAACGCAATCATTGTCACAACCAATGTCAAAAACAATATTCATGAGAGAATGCGGAAACTTTCCATTGCTGAGTAAGAGTAATACAAAAGTTTCATAATGTTTAAGATCTGGAATCTGACTTTATAAGAAAACAACCTAGGGAAGAAACCTAAATCTGCAAAGCCTAGACAGCTGGTCGACTTATATTCATAATTAGTGTCATTCAGTTCATAGCATTTTTGTTTAAGGTTTACGTGTGGCATACCAGAACCGAGGCTCCTAAACTGAATATGGAAGACAAACTGAAAGCTAAAGGAAAACGCTCCGATGATGGGATTCAAGTATAGGGTTTTAGTTGTAGAAATTGTAAATAATTATGTAAAGTTTATTTAGGTATCTGTGTCATATCGGTCAGTTTATGCTTTTTATCCTTACCCGTGTTATTTTACCAGTATGCTATTAGTAAATTTTATGTTAGGTCCTATACTTATTTTTTTTTAAGAATGGATACTAAGGTTAGAATAAACTTGTAAGATCCATCGTTTATATTTTTATATTGATAAGTATGTGTTTAAACCATCTTATAGAAAAATTGTGAATATTCTTATTCTTTAGATGGTTTTATGCTGCAACCAGTGTATTGTTTTGTCTTCCATGTCTTTTGTGTTTTACGTGATATAGCTATTGTATACTGTTATCTAGAAATGTGTTTTATACTTGATTGTTATTTATTAGAAATCCTGTAAATAGCTCAGAATGCAGAGTGTGGAAGGATTAGACTACTTGGGGTTTTATGTTTGTGAATTTTATGCAGCATTGACACTGTTATTAAAATATTCACTTTTGACAAAGCCAAGTTACGTGGGAATTTTAATTTTACCAATTGGACTTTTGTAAAAAAAATCCTAGTTAGCATGAAATTGTAATTTTCTTTGTTTAGCTATGTTTAATTTTGAATCATTTCTACCTGCTGATTATCTTAAGGTTCATGGTAGACCTGGGGTGTAGCAATTTTTGTAAACATTTTTGAGCTCTCATTTGATCTTTTCTGTTCAATAGGCTTTAAATAAATTATTCTGACTGATGAAACAGCTGATCTTAGTCAGTAACAAATCTACACATCATTACTAACTCATCCTTCACTTTTATTTGGGTAAAAAAAACGCACCTAGGTGGTGTCCCCATCTCAATTAATTGATAATTGAATTAATACACGTCATAATTTGTAAATTATTCGGTCCCATGATACCAATTTATATTGCATCAGCTGATTAGTTACTTTATTTAGCAAGCTCAGTAGTGGAGTAGGTCTTATCTTGAGGTAGGTAGGCTTACATTTTGATCTATTAGCACATTTCCCAAATAGGGAATGAGCTATTGCTATTACTGTAGGTCTCATGGTAAGACCTGGACCCAGGACCAGTTTACTTTTTCGTTTTGATGTCCCCAGTGGACGAAAACACAGTCTGTTCAAACTCGTACATGTATATGAGTCCGTTAGCACGATAACTTGAGCAAAAGTGATCCTATTTCGATGAAATTTGGTACAAAAGTGTTAACCTAGGTTTATTTTAACGAGTTCGCAAACCAGCCAGATCGGACCATGGGAACGGGGTTTTTTGGAGGGATTTATGAGGTAAAAATAGTTTTTTCTCATTTTTGACTCTTAAAAAGCTTAAACATTACATTTCCAACTTTTCTCCGGAAACCATTTTGAAGAGCTTAAAAACAAATGATTTAGTTTATTTATGTGTTTTTTTACAGTTAATGGTTACAGAGAAAATTCAAAAGATTGTAAATTAAAAATTCCCATGTTATTCTTATCTGATAAGTAAACTTGTTTTTGTATATATTTTGGTCAAACTTGGCAAATTTATTTATTTTTACGTAAGGTTTTAAATTAATTTGTTCCTGCTTGCTTTATGGTTAAGGCTTCTTGGTTTACTTTGTTTTATAGAATAGTGATTCCATGAAGGGGGGCAGTTTTTGTTGTGTTCCCAGGACAAAAAATACATGTAATTTTTACAGGAAGGTTTTAAACTTTACTTTAGTCTTTCATTTTTGCATTTTTGGCAAAACTTTTTACTTTTTTAGAAATAAGATTTTGTTACTTTTGTAAATGATTGTTTTGTTACTTTTGTAAATGATTGTTAATGGGCTTGGATAATTAAACTAAATAAATTGTTTTTATGACATTTTTCTCTGCTCAAAATGTTTTTGTGATAAGAGGTTTTTACCTAGTGGTGGTATTTAGTATTTACTCATTTTACAATACTCAATTCCAGTAATTATCTTGTTTGGGGGTCTGAGTAATTTAATTAAACTTACATGTTTTTTTATGATTCTCTAGATTGCTTTATACTGAAATTAAAGGTTGCTTGAGATTTTTTTATTGTAAAACATTTAAATGCGTAAAACGACCTTTAAAAAATATTATTCTGTCATTATGAGAATTCAGCAATATGCTAAAAACATCCGTGTGCTTATTATTGTGCATAATACCAGTTGCCCATTGCTAAGTACTGACAAAAAGTGTAAATAATTATAGAAAATATAAAATTATCCTCATTTTGATAAATCTTTATTAAAACCGCCTTTTCCTTTTCATCAAGTAGGTATAACTTAATAACATATATAACATAATGTCTAAGTCCATACTATAGTTCGGCCGCTTAGATAGCAACCTCCTCTAGCATTGGTTAGCATTAGCACACAGGTCACTATCTAAGCGGCCGAACCATAATAACATAGTTGTTTTAGTATGGACATAAATATTTTATCTCATTTTGACAAAGCTAGTGATTTTGATGATAATTTTTTTATTTCAAAAAATATTTGATTTTTTATCTTAGCTACAAACAGGGACGGCTCCATAGGAATAATTTTTTGGGTAGGCCTGACAAGGATCAAGAAGGAGTTTGATCCTTGGCTTCCCTGCAAAAAGGAGAGAATTTATAAAAATGTAAATGCAAAATAATGAGTTTTAATGATTTCCCTTTATTTACATATGATTAAATGACTTTATTTATTTATAACTAGCTGTACCCGCGGGCTTTGCCCCGTTTAACTTCATAAGTATTCGCATGGCTCATTCACGTCCTGGTTGGGAGCTCGTTCGCTGCGCTCACTTGCCTTCAGGTTAGCTCGTTCGCTACGCTAACTCGCCTCCAGGTTGAAGTTTGTTCGCTACGCTCACTCACCTTTTGGTTGGAAATTAGCTGTTGTCATAAATTAAAAAAAAAATAATAGTGCTGCACCCTGTTGGTAATCCTTGTAACTTTGATGCTATTGAACTGAACCAACTTGTTTAATTGAAACAGCTGTTAAGATTCATTAATTCCTTTTAAATATGAAAAATCATAAGGTTATCATGGGGAACTACAGAGCCACTGGGGCGGAGCCCGAAAGTTTTTTGAGATAAGAATATGATTTAATGTTAATCAGGAATGTGAGCTAATACCAGCTTCACACAGCTTCAAAACAGCTTCACCTGCTGTTTAGACTTCAAAAGCTGGTTGACATCGAGATTCTCCTTAAGGTTTATTATGGCTGTTTTCATAGCATAATCTCATATGGTTTGGTATTTTGGGGTGGTTGTAGTGAGGCAAAACGCATCTTCATCCTTCAAAAGCGTGCAATTAGAAGAATATGTGGAGTCCATAGACGGACACACTGTAAACCTTTGTTCCAAGAACTGAACATCCTCACACTTCCGTCCCTCTTTATATTGGAGCATTGCAAGAAGAACCCCAATATTTTTGTAACAAACAGCATGGTCCACAATTACAATACAAGAAGAGCAACAAATCCACATGTACCTCAAGTAAATTCCACCCTTGCAAGCAAGAGCCCTTACTTCAATAGTATAAAAATTTACAATAAATTGCCTCAGTACATCACACAAGAGCCCTCTATCAACAAATTCAAGAACCTGCTAAAAACATTCTTAAGTCAAGTGGCACTACAGTGTTGATGAAATATATGTCTAGGCCATGTACAATCTTGAAGAGGAAATGAATCCATCTATATAAATTAATATGAAGAAATGTATAAAAACCTGACAACCACGTCGCTGATGCGATACCAGTGGGAATTCTCCAAGTATCCAAGTAATATCATTCCAAATTTCAGCCCAATCCGTCCAGTAGTTTATGCGTGATTGAGCAACACACAAACAAACTCACAAACTTTCAGATTTATAATATTAGTAAGATTTTAAAATATCTAATATAATTTTGGGTAGGTCCGGGCCTACACTCTGGGGCTGCCCCTGGTTACAAAATTTAGCTTGATTAAATTCAGCCAAATAGCTACTAGTACTGTGTATATTCAATATTTGTTATACAAAAATCACAAACATAAATAGCCATAGCTAAGTGTTATACTTGCATTTTAGCCTACATATTAAGTCAGTAGCTTTTTGATGGTTCGAAACTGGACCCAGCTGTTCCTGATCATTGGGCTTTAAATAAATGATCCTGACTAATGAAACCGCTGATCTTAGTCAGTAACAAAGCTACACAGGTCATCACACACCGTTCTACACTCATCCTTCACTCATATTTGGGTTAAAATACGCACCTATGGGGCGTCCCCATCTCATTGATTGATAATTGATAATTGATAATTGATAAAAATTAACAAAAGCTGTAAGCACTACAAGATATTGATTGTATATCTACCCCTCTTGTATTGTTATTATGATCAGAAATGGGTGTGAAATGATTTAATGAATTGTATCTGTATTCCAACAAAATGATTTATAAAAATGTACAAAACAATAATAAAGAAAACATAAATACCCCCGCCGCAGCAAACCTGCAGACTAAGCGAATTTCCATTAGCCTGATAGGATTTACACTAAAATGCCTCCTTAAAAATATCATATTTATTCCCTATTTAAATAGAATTAGTAGTTTAACGAGTACTTAGGTTTGCTGAAACAGGGAGGTTAAAAAGGTGATTTTTTATGTTAATAGTTTAGTAAGAAATTAATGTTTTTTCCGAATTCGATCAAAATATGTTCATAAACAAGCAAACTACAACAGTTGACTTATTCTCCATAAGAATAACATGGTGATTTTAGATTTACAGTTTTTTTGGAATTTTCTCCGTAACCATTAGGCGCACAATAACGCTTCAATATACTAAATTATTTGTTTTTTATGCTCTACAAAATGGTGTGAAAAAAAATTGTAAAATTTTGTGTTTTTAGGGTCAAAAATGGGAAAAACTTATTTTTACCCCATAAAGCCCCCCATAAACCCCTGTTTCCATAGTCCGATCATGCTGGTTCGCGAACTCGTTCGAATAAATGTAGATTTACACGTTTGTACCAAATTTCATCAAAATCGGATCATTTTTGCTCGAGTTATCGTGCTAACGGACACACACACACACACACATATATATATATATATATGAATTTGAACGGATGGTGTTTTTGGCCTCTAGGGACCTCAAAACGAAAAAATAAATCGGTCCTGGGTCCAGGTCTTACCATGAGTACTACGGTAATAGCTTATTCCCTATACGGGAAATTCGCTAAAAAACAAAAGTGAAAATACATTTTAAATACAATCAAAATGGCTTACTTTTACAATAAAATTGAACTAAAATTCTGTACTTAATCGTTCATGTTTGTTTACAAACAGGCATGGGTAAAACGGTTAGAGTGGTTTTTAAAACATGTCTATGACAACTGATTATAGACTTGATGTTGACAGGCAAGACATTTTACATTTTAGCGAATTTCCCATATAGGGAATAAGCTATTACCGTAGTACTCATGGTAAGACCTGGACCAGGGACCGATTTTTTTTCGTTTTGAGGTCCCTAGAGGCCAAAAACACCATCCGTTCAAATTCATATATATATGTATATATATATATATATATATATCTAATATATAAAATTCTCGTGTCACAGTGTTTGTCTGCAAACTCCTCCGGAACGACTTCACCGATCGTTATGAAATTTGGTGTGTAAATTCCAACCCATAATTAATTGTGGATTAATTGTGGTGTAATTTCCATTTGGTGTGTAGGTATGCGAATCGGACGTAAACTATTTCCCATTTCGAAATTCTTAAAAGGGCTCCGCCCCAGTGGCTCTGGAGTTTCCCATGTTAACCTTATGAGAAATGGAATTAATGAATCTTAACAGCTGTTTCAATTAAACAAGTTCTGTTCTATGATGTTCAATAGCATTAAAGTTACAAGGATTACCAACAGGGTGCAGCACTATTATTTCTTTTACATTTATGACATCAGCTAATTTGCAACCAAAAGGTGAGTGAGCGTAGCGAACGAACTTCAACCTGGAGGCGAGTGAGCGTAGCGAACGAGCTAACCTGAAGGCAAATGAGCGCAGCGAACGAGCTCCAACCTAGAGGTGAGTGAGCGTAGCGAACGAGCTCCAACCCAAAGGTGAGTGAGCGTAGCGAACGAACTTTAACCAGGACGTGATTGAGCGATGCGAACGAGATCATCTTGAAAATTAAACGTAACGGTACTTTCTTTCCATCGGTCTGTCTTAGGGGAAACCTATAACTTAGGCGATACGAAGTTCGCCGGGTCAGCTAGTATATTTATATATGTGTCCGTTAGCGCGATAACTCGAGCAAAAACGATCCGATTTTGATGAAATTTGGTACAAACGTGTAAACCTACGTTTATTCGAACGAGTTCGCGAACCAGCATGATCGGACCATGGGAACGGGGGTTTATGGGGGGTTTTATGGGGTAAAAATGGGTTTTTCCCACTTTTGACTCAAATAACATAAAATTTTGCAATTTCTTTCGAAACTATTTTGTAGAGCTTAAAAAAACAAATAATTTAGTATATAAAGCGTTATAATGCACCTAATGGCTACGGAGAAAATTTCAAAAAATTGTAAATTTAAAATTCCCATGTTATTCTTATGGAGAATAAGTAAACTGTTGTAGTTTGCTTGTTTATTAACATTTTTCGCCCAAATTTAGAAAATGTTTTTATTTCTTACTAACTATTAACATTTTACATAAAAAACACTTTTACCCTCCCTGTTGCAGCAAACTTAAGTATGTGTTAAACTGATTCTATTTAAATAGGGAATAAATGTGATATTTTTAAGGAGACATTTTAGTGTAAATCCAATCAGGCAAATGGAAATTCGCTTAGTCTGCAGGTTTGCTGCGGCGAGGGTATTTACTTCATGGACCATGGTATAAACAACGCTGTTTTGAAAGCTGGTAGTGCCTTCCCAAGCAGCAAACATCGTTGGCAAATCGTTGGCCCAACGTTTCTGTCGATCGTTGGCCAACGGTATGTTTTTGCACTCAGTCTTACGGTTGGCCAACCAACCAATTTTTGCGAGCCAACCATCCCATTGGGCCGAAACATAAAAAACACAAAATAATAAAGATTAAGTATGAAAAGCATAATTATCAGTTGAGTAAATTGATTAAATAGTTCATAAAAACTAATTAAAAAAACGAGATAAAATTATTTGGCCGGAACGGGTCTCGAACCCGATACCTTCGCATTGTGAGCCTCACGCCTTACCTATGAGCTAACTG